GGGACGGCCTTCTCCCCCGCCGGCACCTTGCCCACGGCTGTCTGAGTGGCGCGGCCCTGTCGGGCGTGGCCGGGGGAGACCCGGGGTGCCGGCAGGAGGTAGAGGTTGGCCGGTGACCCCTGCCTGGAGAAGCCGAAGGCCCCGAGGGAAACGAAGCTGGTATGAAGTGAGCTGGCCGCCCCGGCGTTGTTAGCAGGGGGAAGACCAGGCGTGCGCGCTTCTGGAGGAGAGGGGCCGGTATGCGAGAACTGCCCTTCTACCCCAGGTGTGTGTGCATAACGGATTAAAAAGTAAAACCTGGTAACAACCTGGGGGGCTCGCTTCCTGCTTCCGGCCACTCCGGCAACAGAGTGGCCTGTTTTCCTGAAACGCCTCGCTACGAGGTGCCGAGAGACGCAGGTCCGTGAGCGGCCTCCTGACTACAGAGCTCAAGGAGGCCAGAGCGTCGGGTGGACAGGGAGGAAGAGGGCTGGGGCTGCGTCCCTCCTCCAAGCAACAGGGGCCGTGCGGCAGGTGGGGACGCGAGGCCTCCTCGTGCTCTGGTGGGGCCGGAGTCTGCCTGGGCTGGACCCTCCAAGAGCCCCTCCTAAGCAGAAGGGTGGCCGGTGGCACAGGAGTGCTCCCTCCGGGAGGCAATTTTCTTCTAAAAGTTGTTGGGGTGCCTGGGTGGCTCAGTCGGCTGAGTGTCCGACTGTGATTTTGGCTCAGGTGCCGATCCCCGGGTCATGGGATCGAGCCCCACATCTGACTCCGCAGTGAGTGTGGGGCCTGCCTGGGATTCTCTCTCCCGGTCTCTCTCTGCCCCTCCCCTGCTCGCACAAGCACTTGTACACATGTGAACTCTCTCTTCCTCAGAAAATTTTTTCTTTAGCTTCTGTGTCTTGGGAACTTGTGGCTGTGATTGCTGTCACATACACACAGGGATCAGGCTTGTTCTCTCTGTCGGACTGGGGAACCCCGGCTGAGAAGTTAGCTGTGTAAGTGGCCCGGGTGAGAGCCGTGAGAGCCGTGCTGGGCAGGGGCTGGTGCAGTGCCCCGCCCACCCCCCCAGCTCCTCCGCTACCCTGCCCTTCTCAGGGCTGCGTGACAGGGGCCTGGCCTCGCCTCTCTCCTCTTATCCCTGTCCTTTCCTTTGGCCCCGGGTTCAGCCCTTGCTGACCACTCGTAGGTCTTCATCTGTGCGCAGACTTGCCCACCTGGATGTCCCCAAGCACAGCCACTTTCATAGACACCACTGTCTCGGCCCGCCCTGCCTCAGCCCGACACTCTGCACCTTCAGTGCCCTCCCACACCCCCTGCACCCGGGACTTCTGGGCACAGCGACCCTTGCAAACTGTGCGTTATTTGTGTCTGTCTGTGAGGGGTGAGGTGGGCACAGCACCTCCTCTTTTTGCCTCGCGGTGGGCGCTGTGAACCGAGGCCGTTTGGGGACGTCGGTGTCTGTGCCAGTTCTGTATGGCTGCTGTCACACAGTGCCACTTAGAAATGCAGGGCGCCTGGCCAGCTTGGTCGGTGGAGCGAGTGACTCTCGATCTCAGGGTTGTAAGTTCGAGCCCCACGTTGGATGTAGAGATTACTTAAAAATAAAATCTTTGAAAAAAAAAGAAAAAGAGAAACGTATTCTTACGGTTCTGGAGGCCAGAAGCCTGAGATCAAAGTGTTACTCGGAGCCCTTCCTGGGGGCTCAGAGGGAGACTTGTCCCTCCCCCAGCATCTAGAGGTGGGCCCCAGACTGTGCCCTGCTGTCACTCTGCCGTCTTCTTTGTGGTCTGTGTGCTCTCTTCCCGAGACACGGTTGTGTTGGATTTACGGCCCACCCTACCCGACACGGTCACATCTTATGTAGTTCTCCCTGCAGAGATCCTCGTTCCCAGAAAAGGTCTCTTCCTGAGATTCTGGGACGGACGTGGATGTGGAGGGACCCTCATGCCGGCATAGTCCCGGAGCCCCGCACTTAGCCCCGG